GTGTGTGTGTGTGTGTGTGTGTGTGTGTGTGTGTGTGTGTGTGTGTGTCATTGTGTCATAGAAAAAATAATTCCCATAAGATCAGGTGTAGATTTCAGTAATTTATTATTTGTAAAACAAAAGGGGAACAGTTAAACTAGCTGTAGTATTAAATTCTTGTTCTGCCTGACCTGCTGAAAGTTTGGCCCAGTTCTGTTCTGTCAGTAAAATCTGTTGTTTTATAGAAGTAGCTGTGAAACTTCCTCCTCCCTCCTCTCTTCTATGTCCTTGGGCAAAGCTCCAGGAAGGTTCTACCATCTATCTCAGGTGTAGCTAGAAGTGTCTCAGGRGGAAAAAGCAACAGAAGATCTATAAACAAACACATCTTCCTGTCACAGTAACAAAATGATTACAATATTTAGGCATGGTCAGAATGTTCTTCAAAATCAATTATAATACCCAAATCACAATGGTAAATCTAAAATGGATAATACATGTGCTCTAAATTGATGTTTTTTTTTTGTTTGTTTGTTTTTACCCTTTTACATGATTATGTCTAATGTATTACTGCTGCTCAAAAGAGAAGTTTGCAAATTTAGCTGGAAATAATAAATAATTGAAACCAATGTTTGAATTTTCACCTGCAGGTGAAGCCCCTGCTACAGGTGACCAGACAGGAGGAGGAGATGCAGGCTAAAGATGAAGAGCTGGTCAAAGTGAAGGAGAAGCAGATGAAGGTGGAGGGAGAGCTGGTGGAGATGGAGCGAAAACATCAACAGGTTCTTCACAACTACCGAAACAAGCTTCTGTAAAGTGACAAATATACAGGATGCATRTTCAAAGGATGTTATCTGTGTGTAGCTACTGGAAGAGAAGAACATCCTCGCTGAGCAGCTGCAGGCAGAGACAGAGCTGTTTGCAGAGGCCGAGGAGATGAGAGCTCGGCTCGCATCCAAAAAGCAAGAGCTGGAGGAGATCCTGCACGACCTGGAGTCCAGGCTGGAGGAGGAGGAGGAGAGGAGTCAGGGCCTGCAGAACGAGAAGAAAAAGATGCAGTCTCACATCCAGGTGTGTTGCCCTTACACTGTCTCAGACCTGGCTGCTGAAAATTCAAATGTAGTCAAACACTGATAGAGTGGTTTGGGYTCGTAGGACCTGGAGGAACAGCTGGATGAGGAGGAGGCAGCCAGGCAGAAGCTGCATCTGGAGAAAGTCACAGGGGAAGCTAAAATGAAGAAGTACGAGGAAGACATTTTACTGCTAGAAGATCAGAACTCCAAGTTTTTAAAGGTAAAATTATTGGTTTCACAGAAATACACCAAAAAGATAAATTTTATGATTCTAAAARTAGTTTTTAAAAAGGGACGGAGGACGTAGCCGTTCAGGACTTACCAAAATAAAGGTTTTCAAAAACGTTCTAAGTAACCAGCTTGTATCTCTGCCCTCTTCAGGAAAAGAAGTTGCTTGAAGACAGAATCAATGAGGTGACGCTGATGCTCGCAGAAGAGGAAGAAAAGGCCAAAAACCTTGGAAAGCTGAAGAACAAGCAGGAGATGATGATGGTCGACCTGGAGGGTAAATAGCAAACAAGCAAACAGCATGCAGAGAAATAAAAATCAAAATGTTTATATATTTTATTCCTTTAATTTTTTAACAAAACAAAACTATGGTGTTGTCTATTTGTGATTTAGAGAGACTGAAGAAAGAGGAGAAAACTCGTCAGGAGCTAGAGAAGGCCAAGAGGAAGCTGGAAGGAGAGACGTCAGACTTCCAGGACCAAATAGCCGAGCTGCAGTCACAAATAGAAGAAGTTAAAGTTCAGCTGAGTAAAAAGGAAGAGGAGCAGCAGATGATGCAGGCGAGGTACGAGATAATGACTAGAAGACCAACACTCAGGTCTGGTTTATTTGAATAAATATGTTTTAATTAGATGTAACATTCTGTTAGACCAACACTTCAAAAACACAGTGATTTTATTTTATATAATGGTTGGAATATTTTACACATAAAGTTGCTGCATTTTTAAATCACTATCTCTGTAAACACAGCACACTGCTGCCACCCAGTGGAGACTGCAAACTATAGCATGGTTATATATCGGATGTGTTTTTTTAAGGGACGGTTCAATTTCTCTCTCTTTTTTTTTTTTTTACAAAAACAGGTGTTTCTCACATATTTATAGGAAAAATAAAATCAGCTCTTCTTCAATTCTGCACATAAAGGCAATATTATGACACCTCCACCACCGTGCTTGACAGTTATGACAGTTAGTTTGTGCCATTATGCTGTGTTTAGTTTTCACCAAACATAGTWTTTCTGAGTAAACATCTCTACTTTGATTCCATCTGTCCAACGGACATTGTTCCAAAGGTCTTGTGGTTCATTTAGATGCAACTTTACAAACTTGAGATGTGCTGTCATGTTGGTTTTAGAGAAAAGYGGCTTTCATCTGCAACCCTTCCACATAGGTCATACCAGTTCAGTCATTTTCTGAGTGTCCTGTCATGAACCCTTTAGCTTGCTAACTGAGGTCAATAAAACTTAATTTTGTTGCAATTTTTCTGAGCATGTGAGATACACCCAAGTTGAGGAGAAGACAGCTTAAATAGCTGCACAGAGAGCAGTTAAGGSTCCTGCATACTCCCTTCGAACTGCCGAAATGGGTTCGGATTGTCAGAGTTTCATGATGAAAATTGTGTCATTCTGTTGGCATTGCCGACATTTCGGCAGCTTCTTGACACAACCTGCTGGTCAAACTTTTTACCCCCCCTCCACATGAGTACTTATTGTGTGATTGGTCAGAAGTTTGTAGGAGGGTTTGTGCTGAAAGCGCTCAGAAGCTGCATTTTGTTTTAACCGCTCGCTTCAAACCAAAAAAAAGTGACTCGCTTCACGAGTCGACTGTTGTAGCAGGAAGCAGCGATTTTTAAAAATAGTCAAACGGCCAAAAACATATGGATGGAAATAAAACAGGCATTTTGCACCGTGGAATCTAACTGATAAAAACTTTGGAGCTTTAACCGCGACAGATTTGTGGGTAAATAACATCGGGTGACGAGTCTCTGACTTTTTTTTTTCCGCATTGTGGACTTCAGCGGGAGGAACCCCCCTGTAGTGACGTATGCTACAACGGGAGGGGTTTCCCCAGGAGCTCGGCGCGGAGTGTCTCAGGGACTATGAAGGGTGTGTGCGAAAATGAACGCCGAAAAACCACGTGACTGCGCATCGACTGTTCTGCTTCAGATGGAGTATGCAGAGGCTTTTAGGGAATAGGCGTCTTACTTAAGGAAAACCTGTGACTTTCCAGTCCCATGTTAGCTGCCCTATCTCTGTACCACAACTGCTGCAAACATGGGAATGACCTTAAAGACTGGCAACACTTTGCTTCTTCTGGGTCCACCCACTGTTCCGGGTTTAGCTGGTACTACAGTACGATGGTTATCCTATTTTCAGACTTTTGTGCTGTAATCATTATGTGCTCCACTGGCCCACACACTAGCAACCGCTGCTAGAGCATACGCATAGCCAGTGGGTGTTCTAACGAACTGCCCACTTTGCCTAAAAAGGTCCGGCAGAATTTGATATTTTTCCTTCATTTTTTTATTATTCCTGCATTGTGAGAGTGCAGTAAGCCCTACACATCACCGGGTGCGTTCAGAGTCGCACTTTAATCACCCAGAAAATCCTCCCATCAACACACACACCAGAACTGCTCCTGCGTGCGCTCACGCCACAAACCAACACAGAATCGGTCCTGTGCATACACAAGAACCCATCCAGCGTGCGCTCACGGACCATCACAGAACCCAGCATCATTAAAAGACAACAGGAGTGCGAGACAACTCAGAGCAGAGTTTCTGCTGCACAGACAACGTTTCTCTGTAAAAAGATTTTAGATAAAATAAAACATTGACCCGTGATGGCTTGCTTCCTCTGCACCCCTGGTCTGTTTGACTCACGTAGGCTTGCCGCGTGTGGAAAAAAAACAACCGGTCCAAACACCTCAGAGCGGGATAATCCATCCATTTTAAAGTGGCCGTCAGTGGAGAAGTTATGAATGTCAAAGTTTTAAACAAAGAACTGGACCAGTTGCTATTTAATAATTTTCTCAGAAACACTCTGAATGCTGTGAAAAAATAAATTCAAGTGTGCAAATATTCTTGGCTCAAAGCTGGTTTTAAAATTCAGTCATCAAACATCAGATTCTGGCTTTACGTGAAGAGATATATTTTAAGTCTAACAGCTGATTTAGCTGAAGAAAACCTCTGGTATAGACCAATTGCTGAATCAGATTTCATATTCAAGAATATTCTCAGATAAATGTCAAGATACAATGATATATAATAAGTTTAAATTCAGCACAACAATATTACATTTAGTGTTTTTATAAATAATATCTGAAAATTCCAAATATTAATGTATTAAAGTAAATACTAACAGTTTTCTCTTTGATCCATTACTTGTTTGGTCATAAACAAGTTGGAAACAGGTTGTTAACTGACATCAGATTATGATGAAGCTAAATTTGATGTGGTCACTGCAGCCATGGATTATAAGAGGAAACTCAACCTGAGAGAGGAAGAACCTTGTTGAGTTACAGTAGATACAGAAAGAAAGAAAAAAGAAAATAGATCTTGTCAAATACAAAATAAGTTCTTAATAGAAAACACAGATCATGACAGTTTATGCAGAAAAAATAAAAATGTTGTATCATAAATGAGTAAATGTTCTGGTTGGATTAATTTATATGTTGTGTTAGATATATATAAATATTTTAATATTAAACTACACAACTTAAGACTTTCCAGCTGAACATGTACATCAGAATTAATATTAACCTTATAAAACCCTTAAAATGCAAGAGCTACAGGGGGGCAACCCCCCCCACCCCGTCCCACCCAAGACGTTGTCCTAAGCAGGCCTTGTACCCCAGTCTTCAATAGGTCCACTTTTCTCAAAAAAGAACCCCCCCCCACTCAAACTCCTGGCTATCAACACACACACATGTTTGCTGGAAGCACTTCCATTTTGACTTTGTTTAATAATTAGTAATCAGTTGTGTGTTTTTGCAAACTTGACGATAAATTTGAACAGTTATTTAAATTAGGTAAATATCAGAATATTTTTTATTCTGGTTCATAAAACTGTAAAATAGAAAAAATGATTGACTTTCTTTTCCGRTGGTTGAATGTGTAAGTACTGTAGGTAATTATTATCTTAGACTGCTTTTTACTTTGAATCCAGACTTCCTTGGTAATGTGTCTGTTTTTAAATAGTTATGTTTGTGACCTCTGTTCTTCAATACTCTTTCTTTTAACAGAGGAGAAGAAGAGACTGGTCAGAAGAACAACGCTCTGAAGCAGATCAGGGAGCTGCAGGCCCAGCTGTCTGAGCTGCAGGAGGACCTCGAGTCAGAGAAGCAGGCCAGAAACAAGGCGGAAAAACTCAAGAGGGACTTGAGTGAGGAGCTGGAAGCCCTCAAGACTGAACTGGAAGACACCCTGGATACAACAGCAGCCCAGCAGGAGCTCAGGTAACATACTCCACGTTACCTCTTCTAATAGACGGCGAGCTGTTTTGTAAACGCCGTCTGTGTTCGGTGCAGGACTAAACGTGAACAGGAGGTTGCAGAGCTGAAGAAAGCCATYGAGGAGGAAACTAAAAACCACGAGGCTCAGATCCAGGAGATGCGACAGAGGCACTCGACCGCCTTGGAGGAGCTGTCTGAGCAGCTGGAACAGGCCAAGAGGGTACGAGATCTGCCCACAATCAGTCTAATCTACCAGAGCCAACGAGCAGTTAGCATCACTTCCTGTGTCTTTATGTTGTTGTTTTTTTCCTATCCAGTTTAAGGCTAACCTCGAAAAGACCAAGCAGAGCCAGGAGAGTGCCAACAAGGAGCTGACCAGTGAGGTGAAAAGCTTACAGCAGGCGAAGGTAGAGTCGGAACACAAGAGGAAGAAGCTGGAGGGTCAGCTGCAGGAGTTCATGGCCAGAGTCACCGAGGGAGAGAGAGCTAAAGGAGAGCTGGCTGAACGCGCACACAAGCTGCAGGTAAACAAGATTATCCTCTTTATAACCCGATTTAGAAAGATATTTTGGTTTTGTTAATTCATTCTCAGACCATTAGAACTAATGCAAAGGGGGGAAAACATTTTAGAAAACTACTGGCCATGAAGAAATATTGTTTTGAATGATAAACTTTGCTTTTTGTTGCAAAACAATTTGGGCTYAAAGGAATTTGCTCATTATGGTCACCATAGCAATCACCCACTTGTGTCTGTCATTCCCTGACAGTACTGTAGACAGACAGGAATGCAGAGTAGAAAGTAAGCCTCAATCACTGTGAGGAAAAGATACTGTAATAAAATATGTTGAATGATCATCTACATACAGCAGGGCTRTTCAATTGGCRGCCCAAAGTTCRGCCCACCAATTGGTTCATTTATCTCTTAAGCCCAAAGCCCCGTTTTTCTACTTTAATTACTCTAAGTTCTATTAGTTAAACAGAGACGTTTTGTATCTACAGAAACGTCAGAATCTTGGCCAGAAGCTGGTAAAAACYWTTTCKATAAACACTCAAGACAGTTAAAACTACAAACAGTTGAAGATAAAATGATGAAAGTGAAAATAAAATCGGTTTAAAAATTTGGCAAGTCAGAGATGTCAGAATATTATTTGTGTCTAATAATAGGAGGCATAATGTGTTCCTTTTGTTTTTGATAATGTTTAATTATCACTACTTTTATAGGGTTCTGTATGTTGTATTCATGATTAAATGCAGCAAAATAAACTAAYTCAAAGGTAACAGATCTTTGTAATACTTGCTTTATTTACATAATAACTTTAATTGCTGGATGTTTGGCCCCTCAGCTGTTGATCAGCAGTAACTGTGGCCCACGGAGCAGTTTAGTTGAATAGCCCTGACATACAGGCTTCATACGTCTGATATTTCCTGCTGCAGTGTGATGTGATTTGTGTCATGTGAACATGGGATGGATCAAACCAACAGKGTGTCAGAATAGTTTATATTTATACTTCCCATTCAACCACAATTAAATTCACTCTATCCAGGAGGCACCATATGCTGGAATGAAACGAGAGTAATGAGTATATTTTTAAAATGTAAGGTATTATTAAAAAGTTATCTAAAAATATTTACTCCTGTAAAGTATAGATAACCCATATTTCTATTTAAGTAAGATAACAAAGCATTTGTACTTTGTTACTTTACACCTCTGACAGTGTTTTCAGTAAAACGGTACACAGATTCTTCACTTTCAGTTTTGAAAAAAATAAAATTAAATAAAAATTTCTGAGCTTCGATACAGTGGAAGTCAGTGAACGTTTGGATGTGACACACCAGTGAGAGACACACTGGGTGAATTTAAATGGAAATTTCTGCAATTTCACGTATAAACAGTGTAAGAAATATAAAGTTGGTGGAAATAAAAAGAGTTTGTGTTCAGAAAGTTTAAAAAGCTCACTTTTGTTGTGTATGACAAATTTTCAAAATGCCATAATAAATCTGTCAAAAAGAAAAAATAAGTAGGTCCTCTGGATGGGTTCTTCTTTAGTGAAATGTTTCATCTCTCCTCCAAGAGACTTCTTCAGTCTGATGAGTTTCAGGTGAACTCAGCCTTATAAGCACTGCCTCCACATGGACAAACAGGTCAGTCATATGAGAAAGATGACCTACTTATTTTTTCTTTTTGATTTTTTCTACCTGTATTACTGAGATGCATCAGGACATAATAAATCAGATTTTGAACTTGGAAATTCAGCCAAACATGGAGAGCATTTTAACAGATTAATTGGACTCTGAAATGGTCAAACAGGAAACTCTGCAAGGCAAGGGGGTGATTAGTGGTTGCATCAGAGATGRGGAGGAGAAAAAACTTTCAGAAGAAACCACTAACCTTATGATGGAGAGCAACTTGGTCCAAGCAGGGAGTTTCTCTGGAACCCAGAAGCACTCGCTGATGACATCAGCACTGTTGATGCTGGGGAGTGGGGATTCCTCTCTCTTTGAGTAAATGAGCGAAAGCGCTGTAAGTGTGATACATGGGGCAGGCTGGAGTCGTACACAGGAGAAAACAGAGCAGAAGACAAATCTAAGGTCCAGAAAAGAGGCTAAAGTTTGGGAATCAGAGGCGATGAAATGAAAAAACAGGCAAGAGRTGAGAATCCATGTGGCAAAAACAGGGTCAGAATGTGGAGATCAAAACAAGGCTTTGTATTTTGTTTTTAATGTGAAGTCTGCCTCAGCAAAGATGGTTTCCTCACTTCTCTCGCTAAAAACTGTTACTGGTCAAATTGTTTATAATGAACACGTCTACTAAAAGTTACAGCACACCATTCTTAATCAATCCACACATATTGGTTTAGTTTTTGTTTGGGTGGAAATATTCATTGAAAATTATGAAGGAAACAGAAGATTAACGGTGCTTCTGGTTTGTTACTCTTAATTATGTACATCTTTAGCATTACATTGTGATTTGAAGTTGATTTAGTTGATTGCAAAGCTTATTTGACACATAAGGACATTACATTTTCATTACAGGATCTTGTATTTAAGTAGATAAAACATTGAGAACTAGAAGCACTCAGAGAGTGCAAACCTCCGCCAAGACCAATTTCCTCCACCCTGTAATGGCGTTAATGCGCAAAAGCAGAGATGGAAACCAATGGCGCCGGAATAGGGGAGGCCAGGGGGTCATTGCCACCCCCCCACCACCACCACC